AAAGTTGCATCTGTCTGTAGACATTGTAGTAGTTCAATTGGGATATCATCTGTTCCTGGTAATTTATTTTTCCCCATTTCCTTTATTACAGATTTCACCTCACTTCTTAGAATTTTGGGTTCATCTTCATAGAATCATAGAGTTGAAGAAGCCACTAGGACCATCCAGTTCAACCCCCTGCCATGCAGGAACTCCCAATCAAAGCATTCCAGACAGATGACCATGGCTCCTCATTCCAAATGTCATTCATTCCCTCATCTCTTTTGTATAACTCTTGTGTGTATTGCCTCCAGCATCTTTTAATTTCTTCTTGTTCCTGTATTTTTCCCCCTCCATAGAGCATCCCTGCCCTCAGTATGACAGTTCCCCTATCCATACTTAAAATAATGAATGTCCTTAATATAAGTTTGTCTTGTTTCTGGAAAAAGCCACAAATGAAGTAGCAGTTGTAAAATGCATAGTTGTTCATCCAAACAATCTTTCAATAAAACCATAGTAACTATAACCATGAGTTTTAATTGCAACAGGCAGAGTATGACTTTGTTTTGGTTCATATGTCTTGGTTCATATGACTTAATTTCCCTTCTGATAATATATGCTTAATGGCATTTGCATAAAGAGTATTTTTAAAAAATCAACAACCTGCCTATGTTGTTTTCCATCACAATCTCTATAAACATTGAACTTGAGCAGACCCTTTTACTTCATGTTTACTTCATGTTTTGCTTCACATGAAATTTAGAGGCACACCTGTATGTGAGTTTTACATGTATGGACTCTGGGTACATGGAAGAAGTTGTTGGTAACTGACCAGCCCTTTTCTCCAGTGGTGACTGATTCTTCCCATATGAAAGAAGTAAGGAATTTGCTTTGTTTTTAAAGGAGCTGTACAAGAAACTGGCCTATCAGGGAGTTAGGATTCTGAATCTTGAATAACTCCTTTAAACTTTGGACTAAAATCTAGAATAGATTTACCACATCACTGGCATGGAAGCAGCCAGACACCATGGCCTTTCTCAATGATTTGAGGCTGTGGCAAGTAAGTTGGCATTTAGTTCAAAAGACAATTTTACCATCAGTGATAATAAATGAACAATGATAATCAATGATCAAAAACAACAATGTGTAGTGATGGTTATTAGAGAATTTTTAAAACATTCAAGAAAATTCCTGACACTTGAAATATTTGCATAGTCATTCCTGTAATGGCATTCTGAAAGTTTTCATGTCCACAGATTTATCTCTCATTTTATTCTGGAATAAGCCTCAGAGATTTCTTGTACCTATAATTATTGGGAAGGCTAGCATTGTGCAGTGGTTTGAGTGTTAGACTATAACTCTGGAGACCAGGGTTCAATTCCCAGCTCAGCCATGAAA